TTCAGCTAAAGTGTTATCCCTAAAGCATATAATCATACCTACTAGGAGAGGTGACACTAGAAGACAAAAATTCAGTTGGAAAACTATTCCAATCTTGTGTCAGATGCTCTTCAAATTCTAAGCACAAAGTATATTCTAAGAATAATTGGAGTTAAAGGAGTGTGAGACTCCATGCTTAGGTTTAGCTGGTACATTTCCCTAAATTAGGACAACTTTAAAAGTTTAGGTACTGGCAGGGTGCAGTACCTATAATCTCAGCACTTCGGGAGGCCAAGGCAAGCAGATCGCCTGAGACCAGGAGTTTGAGGCCACGCTAGGTAACATAGTGAGACCCTATCTCTACAAAAAATAATTTTTGAAAATTAGTTGAGCATGGTGGCATGCACTTGTGGTCCCAGCTGCTTGAGTGGCTGAGGCAGGAGGATGGCTTGAGCCTAGGAGATCAAGGCTCGCAGTGAGCCATGATCGCACCACTGCACTCCAGCCTGGGCAACAGAGTGAACCCTTGTCTCAAAAAAGAAAATAAAAAAACGTGTGTGTATTCCATATATACATATGAACTAACAAAGAACTTCATTTTGACAAGAATGGTGCTGTTTGCCTTTTTTGTTAGGTAAATATTTTTATTCTCAGTTTAATGTTAACTGCTGATTGGTGAGCATACAAATTCTGGTGTTTACCTGCCAAAATCTACTTGATCCAAGAACACAGTGTATGTATGGAACATGTATGCTTTTTGCATTTTGGTATCTATTAGTAATCTCTTAGGATGCTTACTTCAGTGAAATGCTGGGCATGTATGGGCAGGAGTTATGCCCAGACTTTGGAGTCTTTGGTTCAGTGGTTCCCAAGTCTGACTGTGTATCTGAACCACCTATGATCCTACATCAGCTGTATTAATTTATATTCTCAGAGATTGTATGGCTTGGGCATTTATATTTTTTAAAGTGGTATAAGTGATTCTGATGAACAGCCAGCATTAACAAGAACATTGGATTTTCATGGAGATTTTTATATGAAATAGAAACTTTTTTTGATAGTTTTGTTATAATATGGTAATTGGTAAGATCCCTTTTTAATTTCAGTAAGTTAGGGATGAGAGTGTATGTATGAGGACACGAATGTCTTTCAAAATAACTCATTCAATATACATTTCTCTGTGCCAAGCACTTTGCTGGGTGCTAAGGATACAGCAGTGATCATGACATGGTCCTTGCCCTTGAGGAGCCTTTAATTAAGTCCTAGAAACTGTTACATGTGCGTTGAGAGTGTTCAAAAGGATTGGCTAGCTTTCAGGAGAACAGAGGATTAGGAGGAGCCTCCTAGGAGATCTCTGACTTGAACAGGACAAAACCAGTTTTTGCCATATTAGGATAGAGGGGATGAGGGAAACAACATTGCACATAGTTTGGATAATGACAGGTTTGTAAGACAACTCTTCAAACGGTTTAAATGACAGGAGCACAGGGGCCAGACTGGTGTCAGAGAGGGGACCAAGGACCAGTTCTTAGATGGATTTGTGTATCATTTAAGGAATTTGAATTTCACATAGATTGGGGATCCCCTGAAGGGTACTCAGAAGCAGTTATATTATCAGGCAGAAACATCCCTCTGGTGGCAGCATGAGGGATGGGTTGAAAAAGTTAAAACTTGAAGCAGCAAGGCCATTCAGGCGACTGTTGCAATAGTCTTGGCATGAAATGACATACTAAGGCAAGATTGCCCAGGGCTTTTAACACTGATATTATTTTAAAAATAAATTGCCCGTGGTAGTAATGTCCTGTTTCTTTGCTTACTGGTTGAAGACTCAATTTTTATAGATATTGCGGAATAGATTTAAACAGCCAGTTTAGCTGCAAAGATTATTTTAGCCAAGCATCACAGCTGTTTCTTACAGAATGGAAAATATTGTTGCAATAAGACTTAAAACAGAGTGAATTCCTCTCTCAAAGAAAAAAAAGATAAAAAAGATAAAAACTCAAACAGGTCAAATTATTTTAAATAATATATTTAACCTAGTATATCTCAAATATTATCATTGCAAAACGTAACTAATAGAAAAATTGAGATATTTAATATTCTTATTATCTATAGGGACAATATTTTGGTATTTTTTTCATACTAAGTATTCAAAATTCTGTGTATTTTGTACTTTCAGCACATCTTAATTCGGACTAACCATATTTCAAGTGCTGCAATAACCACAGTTAGCTAGTGGCTACCATATCGGACACTACAGCTCTAGATAATTTCTTAAATTCCATTAAAAAGATAAATGCAACATTTCAGCAGTACTTTCAAGGGTGTATTTACAATAATTCTTGTGGGAAAAGTGTTACATCACTTGGGGTTTTACTTTAAATACGTATACTGTTAATAAAATTTACTGAATATACTAGCGATATTATTAGCACACAGAAAGTAGAAGTGAGAATAAGTACTTGATTACTCTCCATACCTGTTACTTTTTACAGTTTCAGTATGTGAAATAATCCTAAATTTTACTTAAATTTTCAAGGAAGCTATAAGAGCATATACTTTAGGCACAATATATTAAAAAGCCTCTGAACTTTAAAGATACGTGATGATTTAAGATTGAGTCTCAATAAATCACAAACTATTAATATTAAAGATCAATAGTAGGTGGCTGTATAAGCCAAATCATCTTTATTGCACTGTTTAGTTTTTGAGCACTGACAGTTAATTATATATATAAGATGGTCAGAGCCCTACTTAAGGATATTAGAATATTGAGGCATCTCATAACCTCCAGTAATTTTATAGAAGTGGGAAGTTTTATTTTAAATAGATACTAGAAAATGCCAAGCTTCTGAATACCAACTCTTCTAAGTTCACATTCAAGTACACGTCTTGTAAACAATAAAAGACCCAAGTTTTGGTTAAAAAAAAATAAATAAAATAAGGTGACAGTTGTTATATGCATGCTTTCCCCCTTCAACAGTTAGATGCCAGCACAAAATAGGTAGAGTTGATGAAACAAGGGCTGGAGTTTTGGCAGGTAAAAGACAAGCAGGGTAGTTTTGCAAGAGTGATTGTTGTAATGGGCAGATGGTGGAATCCAAGCCAGATAATAAAGGAAGTCATAAAAGATTGAAATGAAAAAATAGTGGGGCCAAAGGATAGAAGTCCAATGGGTTTGAAGGATTTTAGTGCTGTAAAAACAGAAGGCAGAAATATGGTATGCGTGAAATCAAGATTTCAGAGGTGTGTGGTTATCTGGTGAATACAAAGTCTAGGTCTTACATTGTAAGTGGATGGCTGAGATGAGGTGGAGAATACACTCATTGCAGATGACTAAGTCAAGGAACTACAAAGGAAAAGTTATTGGAAATTAAGTCTTATAAGAATGTTCTAAGTAGTGGGATGCAATAAGCATGGTGCTCTAGTCTTCCGTGAAAAAGAGGTAGTAACTAGGAGATGGGTTGATGGGTTGTATCATACATTCTAGGTCAGAGGTTCTCAAATGGGGGCAGTTTGCTTAACAGGGAACATGTGACTATGTCTGGAGACAGTTTTGGTAATCACAACTGGGGATGGAGGGTATGTGTACCATGTACCAGTGGCATCTAGTGAATAGGGGCCAGGGATGCTTTTAAACACACTATAACGCACAGGACAGCCCTCACAACAGAGAATTACCTGGTCCAAAATGTTAATAGGTTTTGAGGTTGAGAAACCCTGCTTTAGGTCGGTTCAGTATCAGAATTAAAGTATGATGGTTGAAAAATGGACTGAGAACTATCCATCTGATAAATATTGTTTCTATTTTAATGGAATATGGAAAAAAGTATATATTAACAATACATATTCACTAATTTAAATCAACCATTTTTTGCATTCCTAAAGGCACAACGCTATTCTAGGTGTTTTAATCAGTGAACACAACAAAGATACCTCTGACCTGGAATAGCTTTGACTCAAGCAGGGAGGAGAATAAATGCAATAAATAGTAAACTAGATAGTTTTGTTAGAAAGTGATGCTTAAAAAAGAGGAAAAGTCGGCCGGGCGCGGTGGCTCAAGCCTGTAATCCCAGCACTTTGGGAGGCCGAGGCGGGTGGATCACGAGGTCAGGAGATCGAGACCATCCTGGCTAACATGGTGAAACCCCGTCTCTACTAAAAATACAAAAAAACTAGCCGGGCGTGGTGGCGGGCGCCTGTAGTCCCAGCTACTCGGAGGCTGAGGCGGGAGAATGGCGTGAACCCGGGAGGCGGAGCTTGCAGTGAGCCGAGATCGCGCCACCGCACTCCAGCCTGGGCGACACAGCCAGACTCCGTCTCAAAAAAAAAAAAAAAAAAGAGGAAAAGTCGAGCAGATGAATGACATTGGGAGTGTTCAATGATGGGAGGACAAAGAAAGATGGGTTGCAATTTTAAATATGAGGGTGTCAAAGTAGTCTTCATTGAGGTGACATCTGAATAAAGATTTAAAAGAGAGGAAAGGATAGAATGAATATATGTTGATCTGAAAGTACAGTTTGGGTTTGCGTTCACTTTAGAGGAAAGGGAAGGAGTTTACGTCCACCTTGCAGGAGTGAAGTGGTCTGTACTAAGTACTTTGATGGACACAAAGTTAGTTTCTGCCCTCACAGAACTTCATGACAAACTAACAATCTTGGAAATAACAGAGCAACAAAAATGGCAAACACAGGACAATAATTTTGACCTATTCCAGTTTTGATCCCTTTCATTCGGGAAATGACAGGTTAATGATTAGTCTTTATTTTCCACTCATCCTCCACATTTGCTCCTTCTTGGAGAACAGATTACACAGTGAAATGAAGACAAGAGGTTATGACAATGGGTTCACAGTAGAGGATCAGGAATGGTGGGTCAGATAAATGGAAAGAAAGGTTGAATTTACAAAAGGGGCTGATGATTTGGAAGAAAGGCTTGTATCTTCATTAGTCTTCCTTCTTGACAATCAGTAATTTTCAGTATCTGAAGCAAATCTCTCATTAGTACTCTCTGCCTCTCAGGTATGGCAACAGCACTAGGAACTATGCTGTTAGGGTTGGCGATTACCATACTCTGGTACCAGAGGAGTTTGAGGAAGAAATTGGAGTTCAACAGATTGTGATTCATCGAGAGTATCGACCTGACAGCAGTGATTATGACATAGCCCTGGTTAGATTACAAGGACCAGAAGAGCAGTGTGCCAGATTCAGCAGCCACGTTTTGCCAGCCTGTTTACCATTCTGGAGAGAGAGGCCACAGAAAACAGCATCCAACTGTTACATAACAGGATGGGGTGACACAGGTAAGGCACAATCGAAAAAAAAAGCAGGGACTTTTCTCTGTCTGGTATTATCCACATATTTGGGTGTGCAATGGGCAGTAAGATCTTAAATGGGTTCACTTATTTGGAGAAATTTTGCTTAGTGTGAAATGCATGCATGTAATCGAGACTTATATTCTGTAGGTATTGTTGGTTCTGAGAGCTTTAGCATAAACTGAGAACTCAGTTTAATTCAGTGAAGTAGACATGAATTGATGTGCTAATGTGAAACCAGCATGAATGCATTCTATGCTTTTTGATATACAGAATTCAAATATGAATGCCTACACAAATGTGCTTTCTTTAGGTCACCTTACTCTAAAAATCCATAGATGTTATTCATTATTCCTCAGACAATTCAGTACTGAGAAGTAAATTTGTAAAGGTTAAGATTGTGTCAACATTAAAAATACCAGTCATTGCTCATTTTAAACTATACTAATGCCACAACAGGGATTTTATTTTCATGACTATTACATGCTCGGTAATTGTTAAATGTTGTGATGGTTATCCGGAATGCCACTAATCAGATGTTTGGTCTGAGTAGGACGAGCCTATTCAAGAACACTACAACAAGCAGCCATTCCCTTACTTCCTAAGAGGTTTTGTGAAGAACGTTATAAGGGTCGGTTTACAGGGAGAATGCTCTGTGCTGGAAACCTCCATGAACACAAACGCGTGGACAGCTGCCAGGGAGACAGCGGAGGACCACTCATGTGTGAACGGCCCGGAGAGAGCTGGGCGGTGTATGGGGTGACCTCCTGGGGGTATGGCTGTGGAGTCAAGGATTCTCCTGGTGTTTATACCAAAGTCTCAGCCTTTGTACCTTGGATAAAAAGTGTCACCAAACTGTAATTCTTCATGGAAACTTCAAAGCAGCATTTAAACAGATGGAAAACTTTGAATCCCCACTATTAGCACTCAGCAGAGATGACAACAAATGGGGAGATCCACGTTTTTGCTTTGGGTTGTGGTAAAAAATTGTGCACCCCCTGTTGCTTTTGAGAATTTGTGAACATTTTCAGAGACCTCAGTGTAGTGGAAGTGACAATCCTTAAATGAACTTTGTTGTCTATCCTAATTTCACTGGAGTGACTTATTCTAAGCTTAATCTATCCTTATTTCTCAGAATCATTCTACGCTGATTTCACAAAAGATCATTTTTACAACTGAATTGAGAACCCCTTATAAGTTAATCAGTGGTGTCTGAATTCATATTAAATACCCACATTTGACATAAATGCGGTACCCTTTACTACACTCGTAAGAGTAGCATATTTATGCTTAGAGCTTTTCAAAATACTTGACAAGAAATCATCTTCTCTGTAGCCTTTGCCAAGTGAGGAAATCAATGGTTAAGGAATTCCACTACCAACTTTTAGGCCTGAATAGGAGTAGTAAGCCTCAAGGACATTTGCCTGTCACAATATATTCTCAAAGTGATCTGATATTTGGAAACAGGTATCCTTGTTGAGTACCAAGTGCTTCAGAAACCATAAGATAAAAATACTTTACCTACAGTGTATATAAACTAGCAAGATTTGAAAGGATTTCTGGTAACAAAATGCCAGTTGGACATACAACCTAGTTTATCCAACACATTTAACATATCTACTATATTTGCTTTTAACAAGCACTTCAGATTTAACTTAGAATTAAATGTTAACTCTTCCTTAGTTAGCATCATAGTCCACGTTCCCCGACCATGATGTAAGAGTGCCACCTACTGACACTTCCCTGTAACTGACTTATACTTGCAGGTTTCCCCAAGACCAACCTGATACAATTCAATCTTAAAATATGCTAGTCAAAATGCTTTCCTGGCCTATACATTGAAAAGTTCTAATATCTTTTCAATTGTTTTAATGCATACAGCAGTTATAACATATGCCAGGCACCGCATTAGGCAGCTTTGAACATCACTGACAAGTTGCAAAAGGCCAGTAGGATCTTTCAGTAGCAGCCCTTGTTTTCAAATAGGGGAAAACAGGCTTGCCTCAAAGTGAGTCGTTGGTGAAACACTGATTCCAAACTCCACAAAAAGGAGTCCCAATGCTGGATTTTTCCCCCATGGTTCTCCCACCTGAAGGACTGGTTTCTCTGTGGCTATTTCTCTGAGTTAAGGGATAGCTGCTTAACTATGCACCTTTACAGAACATTCTTAGCAGTAATGCTCAAATTTAAAAGGCACACTCAAGATACTTCAATGTCATAGATCCTTCCCCAGGTCCCAAGTTGTATAAATATAGGTAAAAGGTTAGCATGAACTTTCGGATGGTTTTAAGTAATCCTCTTGAATGCCAGTCATTAAAGGACTTTACCCTTCTACATCAAATTACATCCTTTTCACAAATGCCCATTTCTGTAATAACTGGTGCAAATCTAAAGGTGCTTTATAGTTTTACTATTTTGCAGATTTGAAATGCTGCATATAATGCAGAAGAGCATTAAAAACTTTTGTAAAAACTCATGATTTTGATAAACTTTTAAAGCAGCGTTTATATGTAAATAGAGCTACATATGGCACACACACTTGCACAAGGGCTTCAGAAAAACGTGCAATATAGGTGAGAAAAATGTCTATTGAAACTTTCTCACAGGCTGCCCTTATAATTAAACTACAGTGCTGGAGCAAGCAACATCAATGTTTCAAGTAGATCAGGGACCGACAAACCTAAAAGGCAGTAAACAGCCTGCAATTTGCTCAATTCTGAAGAATACATGGTTCATACAACATGCTTTTACTATAACCGTCTTGTGACTTGAAAGATACACGTGTTCTGTGCATATCTGTGTAAATAAAGTACATAATTTTTCACCTTTGCTGCCTTAAATTTTTGTATGGTTTAAAAAGACTGTTCTCTCCCCTGGGGGTAACCTGGTAATTTTTATATTTTACATTTTTCACAAAGGCTGCAATAACCTTAGAACTGTACTCATTCACACTACTTCCACGTGAACGCGTAACATTAAACAGGAGGTATTCTGCTCACTATTAACTACTTTTCCGTCTATTAATCACTCAGTCAAGGAACAATGAGTAGCCACATGAATTAAGCATTTTATTTAATTATCAAGAACCACCTTAAATATTACTTTAAAAAATTCAGTCCTATATTCAAAATAGGTATCCTGATAACTTCCAGAACATTATTTGGAACACCGTTTCCCCAACTAAGATAAATCCATTGCCGAATGCTGAACAGACTTTGCCCATTACCACTTTGGATTTCTTGATCTGCAAGAGAAAAAAAAAACATTATAAAACTCCGAGCTGTGTACTTATCCCACTGTTCTGAGATCTTATCAGCTAATTCAGTTGGTTGGTAACTCAAACTACAAAAGCCAGCAAAACGGGCCAGCTTTAGCTTTCCAACGTCCTGACGCTAAGGCGTTTCAGATTAACTCAGGAATATGAAAAAAAAATGTACCTTATGTTTCCATCATCCATCGTAATGTGTTCAGCTCAGCTTCCTAGAAACATTTGAACAACGGTTTAGAAAAGTTCGCCCAATAATCCGGCACCCTCCAGGTTTTTAGCAGTGAATAATGTTACTTGTGCAAGTCAGAATCTGATACCAATTAAATGGTGACAGCTTTGCCAATAAACAAGAATATGCTCTTCCATGGCTAGGAAGGGAGACTGCCACAGCTGACAGGTCCCAAAGATACATGGAGATTCACAATCCAGAATTAACCAGCAAGCAAACTGCTACAGGTTATTTACTCACCATCTGGCTCAAACTGACGGTTCTCGGGGTGCTATGGCACAAGAGCGACAGAATAGACTCAAGATGGCCACATGACACCGACAGCGAAACAGGCTTCACCGGAGTCCCCGGGCGCACGGAACCTTTCCCCGAGGGCCCACGGCCCACGCACGCCGGGATTCAGGGTCCAGGGCTGCACGTGGCCGCCCCGCGACCTAATGAGCACTCAAATCCGCGCATGCTTGTAAACTTACGGGTTTCCAAAGCTGCCCCCCGACCTACCAATATCCTGACTGCGCTGCCTTTTAGGTAAGGCAGTAAGTTTCAGCCCAATTATCATTTTAACGTACGAAAGACAACTAGATACTTTCACCTAACCCCGACGCTTCCCGAACATGAAAGGCTGAGGCCTTCGGCACACGCTCTCTTATAGAACTGATGACGCTATTCCGGGGGAAGCGCCGCGAGGGGCGGAGCCTATGTTGTTTCACTCTCCGCCCCGCCCAGCCCCGCCTCGGCTCCACCTGTTCCGTCGGCCACCTCCTCCCGGGCTCCTTTACCCTCTTCCCAGCCCTTCGTCCACGTCTGAGCGGGTCACCTGGCTCCGGATCCAGACGCATGCGCACATACGAGAGCCAAAAGGTTCTCGCGATAGCGAAAAATCATGACGCTTACCCGTGTAGGTGACGGAAGCGAGGGGATCTTTTGGTGTTTCCTGTTTAGGATACTTATTTTAGACAATATTAGAAAAAGGGGCCGAACGCTGTGGCTCACGTCTATGATTCCAGAACTTTGGGAGGCCGAGGCGGGCGGATCACTTGAGGTCAGGAGTTGGAGACCAGCCAGGCCAACATGGCGAAACCCCGTCTCTACTAAAAACAAAGTTAGCCGGGTGTGGTGGTGAACGCCTGTAGTCCCGGCTACTTGGGAGGTTGAGGTGGGAGAATCGCTTGAGCCCGGTAGGCCGAGGTTATGGTGAGCTCAGATCGCGCCACTGCATTCCAGCCTGGGCGACAGAGCGAGTTTCCATCTCAAAAAAAATAAAAGAAGGTTAGACCCGATGAACCTAGGAGACACCCGGTTTCATGAGCATGTGCATGTTTCCCATGTTTCAGTCTGACCCTGACCCACAGTTTGTTGCCCACTTCTGGCCGCCCTTGGACTCTTAATTCCGGAAAGCGGGACGCCTCAGTCTTACCTCACCCGCTGTACATTGCCTGGAGGATGCAATGAAATACGGCTACCGCCACTGTAAAGTGGAATTTCCAGCCTTTAGGAATAGTTTTGTTAGACACGTGCTTTTAAAAGAACACTGAATTTCTTTTCTGTTTTCGTTTTCCTCCTGTATGAAACAAACCAGGTGAAGTTTTTACTTAGTGCTGGACCATTTGGAGCAGCACATTGTAGCAATTGCTGTTAAGGAAAAAGGTATCAAGACGGGTGAATAAAGTACAGTGGAGATCTACAAAAACATGAAGTCATTACATACTTTTTGGGGGAAAGATTTAATGAGAGCAATAACTGCCATTCGGTTTGGAATGGACAAGCTTATAGGAGACACAATTTTATTTGAGATAATAGGGCTGCTTCTAAGGCTCACCATATTTCACCTATCTTACTTTGTCTCCTTGTTTCACTCAATTCCACTAATGAACCGAAAAGAACTATTCAGTAACAAGGCTTGCATACTGAATCACAGGAGGGAGTTCCGCCCAGTTACATTTTATTTAAATCTAAATAATTATCTATATTAGTTTGCTAGGACTCTCATAACAAAATACCGCAGACCGGGTGGCTTAAACAACAGAAACTTGTCACAGTTCTGCCGGTTGGAAGTCTGAGATCAAGGTGTCATTAGATTGTTTCTTCTGAGGGCTCTCTCCTTGGCTTGTGTATGGCAGTCTTTTCCCGGTATCTTCATATCGTTTTCTTTTTGAACCTGTCTGTCTCAATTGCCTCTTCTTAAAAGGACACTGGCTGAATTGGATTAGGGCCCACCCTAATAAAGTCGTTTAACCTTATTTACCTCTTTAGAGACCGCATCTCCAAATACAGTCATATTCAGAGATACTGATGTACATTTCACAAATTACCTAATCTGTACTCAAAAACAAGAAAAGTCTGAGGGCTTCTACATACGAATTTTGGGAAGCACAGTTTGGCCCAAAATACCATTCATTTATGCTAACGTAAAAAGTCTGATTGAAGATTTGAAATTAATGTTTCCATTGGCTTACGCTGTTAGAACACCAATGAACATGAATGACAGCATGTGTGCATGCACGCTTGTGTGCACCTGTGTATCCTGGCCTTTGAGTAGAACTTTGTGTTTTGTCTGAAACTGGACTTTAGAAAATCTGTTCTTTTCTACCCCTATATTTTATGATCTTTTCTCCATCTTGACTGCATTCTCATCTATTTTTATCTGTCAAAATTCTACTCAGCTTAGAGTGCTTTCCTCAAATATCACTTGTTCAATGAAAATTTTCATTGCTTCAACTGAATTTGTTTTTTTCCTTTTTTTTTTTTTTTAAACATACTATAGTACTTAACTCACATTTTTCTTGTGGTGCCTTTATTATAAACTGCGGTGAAGGACTATGTCCAATTCTTATTTAAAGTGCCTAGCAGAACGACTTTCATTATATGAACAGTCAATTGCGTTACTGAATGCTTTGAAGTACTCAATATGTTTCTGAAATCAAAAAGATTTTATGTTTACTTTAAAAAACCATTTCTCTCCAGGAGATGGAGTTTAATTCCCCTTTCTGATCCAAACACCAACTTTATTGTAGGCTGTGCTTAGTAACTTGCTTTCAAAGGGTAGAGTAAGGAAAGGGGAGAAAGCAGAACTTTGGTGAAAAGTGGCAAGCATTACAGAGTCCAGGTGATCAGTATTTAACATCAGTGATACGGCATGTTGATAATGTGTACTCTGTTACCATGTGATGAGGACATTTCACCTCCATGTTTTTCTTCCTCAAAGCCCATACCTTAGACTAACCATGAGAAAAAAGCCACACAAAACCAAACTGATGTACATTTTGCAAATTACCTAATCAGTACTCAAAAACAAGAAAAGTCTGAGAAACTATTATACCACAGCAAATGATATATAGTGACTAAATGTAATGTGATATCCTGGCTGGGATCTCCAGCAGAAAAAGGACATTAATGGAAAACTAGTGAATCTGAGTGAAGTGTGGAATTTAGGTAATAGTGCCAATATTGATGTCTTAATTGTAAAAGATATACCATGGTATTGTAAGATATTAACAGTAGGGGAAATTGGATGAGGGGTGTGTGGGGATTCCATTTTGGCAAATTTTCTGTAAATGTAAAAGTTTAACTTAAAAAAGCAATTATAACCTTACTGTCTATTATACTTTCATTTTAACACAAAGTAGTGATTTAGTAGTGGTTTCTATCTACTTTAGTATGAAATCTGTGCTGAGATGACAGTATTTCTAAGTTTGACTTGAGATCAAACCCAATGAATTTAACTGTATTCAAAGGAATATTCAGAAGAGACAATGTGGTAACAAATAGAAGAATTAAAAATGGGTTGGTAAATGATGGTTGGCTTAAGGATTTTATTTTATGTATTTATGTATTTATGTATTTATATTTTTAGAAACATTCTTGCTCTGTTGCCTAGCCTGGAGTGCAGTGGCACGATCTTGGCTCAGTGCAACCTCCTAGGCTCAAGCGAGTCTCCTGCCAGATGTGTGCCACCACACTTGGCTAATTTTTTTTAAGGTTTTTTTTTTTGAAAGACAACGTCTCACTATATTGCCCAGGATGATCTTCTGTGCTCCTGGGGTCAAGTGATCCACCTTCCTCGGCCTACCAAAGTGCTGGGGATTGCAGGTGCCAGCCACTACGCCCAGCCTAAGGATTTTAAAGACAGAGTGCAAGGTGAACCTGTTAGAACTGATCAAATGATGGCTAGGTAATATTTCAGTTCTACTTTTGATACATAGAGTGAACAGTTCATTATAGAATATTTATTCTTCAACAATGCTTTTCCATGCACTGTATCATGGTTTAGTGTTGAAACTGGTAGTCATCAGAAAAACAAATTTAACGTAGAATGGCACATCTGTCATATG